AGATTACAAAAAAAATCACAATGGCATCATTATATTCACATGTGACAGTATTGACATTTTTGATGCTACTGAGCATTCTTAAAGCACAACTCCAGCCAAAAGCTGAGTTCTTGCTCTGGACCAAGTTCGGATGAAGTTCACCCAAGCCCATGCAAAACTGTCACTGGCACCCCCCCTCCCCAGCCCAATTACTTGCTGCCAGGACATTGACTGCTCGGCAGCTACACATCACAAAAAGATGGGGAATCACAACTGATTGGGCCAGAAGGGGGGGTGTCAGTGACAGTTTTGGGCGGGCGGGCTTGGCCGAACTTGGTTTGGACCAAGCCCCCGCACATCACTAGTTCTATCCCTTCGTCACTCTACCAATAAATGTGTTTTTATTGCTTTCTCAGGGAGCTGGGAAATTTCCCTTTACTTCCTGTTTTGTCTAACACTTCTCAATAAACAAGAAGCAGGGAGATAATCCCATTATTGCTGTTCTGACAATTACACGGTAGACATGTGCAGCCGCAAAAAAATTGTTTAGTTTCGGATTTCGTTTATTTCGTATTTCCGAAATTGTGTCCTGTATGTGTTTCGTTTTGGGTTTCAGATTCGGATCGGATTCGTAATTCGGATCGGATTTCGGAAGCATTTCCGAAATTTGTGGTTTTGCGCGAACCGACGAATGTTCATACTCACATACGTAGCAGAATTGGCACAGTTGACATTTCTGTTTGCTGTGCTCTAGTCTTCACTATTAAAGGGACATTCAAATTCTTTTCTTAATTTTTTTTATCCGTTTAAACGTTGACGGTGCATGCACAGGAACATGAAGTAATGTTTTGTTTTTATCTTCACATGCTATGAAATCCTCTTTTTGAAGTCATTATCGTAAATGTCTAATTTAGTTTCTGTTAGGATGAAATTCGTACTGAATCCGAAATTCCGAATCCGAAATTTCGGATCCGGAATTTCGGATTCGGATGCTTTCGGATGAATTCGGACATGGTACATTTCAGGAAATTCGGATGCTCCGAATCCACGAATTTCCGAAATTTCATCCGAATTTCGATTCGGAAAGAAACAAATAGCACATGTCTATTAGACAGTAAGGGGACATTTTCAAGTGGAGATACATGCAGCAAATGACAGGGGTTCTAACCGTTCCACACTGTACCTAAAAAAAAAATTTTTTGGCTGAAGCTTGGCTTTAAAGAATCTGTCCACCCAAAATGTGATATTTCACTTGGAGGAGTCAGTAGTTATTTACTTTGTTTCCACCACGATAAAGCATGTATGAGCCTATTCACACCATTAAGTTGCAGTAATGCAAGTTACATGTGTTGCAGTGCCACTGCTGTGTGTTGTGCAACGTATGGTGCACTGGTGCAAGGTTTACCTTCTGCTCTGGTCCATTCAATTGAACACATTGCGCTGGATGTGAACCCTGCCTAACCCTTTCTTTTGAGTTCTCAAAGCTATAGATTCAAATTCCAACAGGGAGAGTGAAACCCCCCTTATAAATTCTACAACAGGGGTGAATGGACCTGTAAACACATGCACATTGACCACTGGCGCCATCGACAAACATATGAAACTACAACCCCAATTCCAAAATAGTTGGGATGTTGTGTATAATCTATGGGCTTATGAGATTTGTAAATCATTGCATTCTTTTTACTGTATATAGATTTTATAACGCGTCCCAACTTTTTGGGAATTGGGGTTGTAGTAGGTGATCTAACTCTCCTAATTTTCCAAAAGATGATACATCAGTTTTGGCTGGTTTGCCTCTAGTAAGGAACTGCAAACTGCAGTAATTTATAAGAAAAAGTCATAATTGGTTATGAGTTAAGAAGTGTATATCCAGCCAAAACTGTTTTTAGTCTTTGACAGAGTAGAGAAGTACTAGAACCCCTATCAGGTTTTTACTTCAATCTAGGGCTCCGTTGGAGAGGTCCCCCTTACTTTCTATCCTGTTAAATTAATTTTTAAAATCAATAATAAGAATAGCAATAACTAGCTAACAGGGGTTCTAGCCTTCTCCTACTCAACAAAAAAAGTTTTTTGTCTGTGTTGCAATTGGAAATTTTTCTTTACTTCCTGTCTGGTAAAATCATTGTCACTGGGTTCCAATCCTTCTCCCCCTGCAACAAGATATTATGTTGGTTAAAATCCAACCATTAAAAGAGAACTATGGGTTAAGTGGTTTTCCGCATAGTTCTCTTAAGGGTCACGGGAGGACATATACCAGCGTCCTCCCATGACCCAAAGCTCAATATATCGCGAGCTACAGCTCGCGGTATACTGAGACCGCCGCAGCCGGGACGGATCCCGACAATGCTGTTGAGATTCACCCAGCTGCGTGAGTGACATCTGGCTCTGCCTATCTAGAGGCAGAGCCAGCTGTACCCGCCCCCTCCCCCATTCGTTCCTTCAGTCAGCACTTGAGGATCGAGTGAGGAGGGGGGAATCCCTTCAGGGAGCCGTGATTGACAGTCACTGCTCTCTGCAGGGAGATGATTGAGAAGTGGGCAAGCGACGGTATGTGTCCGATCCCTTCCTGATCTTTTGAGCCGACGTGTGACAGCTTCTTTGTCACATGTCGGCTCAAACTATGAGGATGAGTGGTTTCACTCACCTCATAATTCTCCTTTAAATTCAACAAAATTAGCTGTGTAGGAGGAATGAACTAGGTGAGAAGGAGTCATGCTCTACTAACAGGATAAGGTTACTGAAGACAGTTTAATGTAAAAAATCTAACACTATGGCAAGACTGACCACAGCAACAAGACATAGGCTCATCTTAATGCATCAACAAGGACTCTCAGAGGCATAAATTTCAAGGAAGACAGGTATTTCCCAATGTGCTGTCTAAGCTCTTCTGCAGAAGCACAGAGAAAAAGGAAGGCTCAAAAATGTAGTGATCAGCCATGGAAGTGCAGCAGATGAGACACATCATGCTGACGTCCCTTCCCAATCAGAAAATGCCCAGTGGCTTGGATGTTCATCAGCTCAGACCTGGCAGAAACCAGTGGGACCCTGGTTTACCCATCTACAGTCCAAAGAAATTTGGTCAGAAGTGGTTTTCATGAAATATTTGCAGCTAAAAAGCCATACCTCCTACATGAAAACAAGGCCCAGCAACTTGCCTATGCATAAAAACACAAGAACTGTGTGCAGAATGCCAGCAGGTGCTTTAGATTGATGATTCCAAATCTGAAATACTTGACCATAACCGAAGGCAGTTTTTTTTTGCCAAAGGCCTGGATAACAGTACAAGGATGAGCGTGTGCAGGTGAGAGTAAAGCATGGTGGAGGTCCCTTGCAGTTTTAGGGCTGCATTTCTGCAAATGGGTTTGGGGATGTGGTCAGCATTAATGGTAAAATTCCTCTATCCTTCCCACAGCCACCCCCC